GACTAAAAGCTAGCAAGGTAAACCCCACATTGCACAGGAGTAAGAAAGCAGCTCTATTTCTACACTATTAGTTTTCATAGACTTTCATCTTATGACATAACTCTTCATTTCCAAAGTCTTGGAATATCTTGTCTACACGGTCTCATTTGCTTGGAGCTCTAACTTAGCTCTAAGGTGAAGGGTATGATTTTTAAAGTTCAGGTATAGTAGAGTTCCGGTACCAGCCTCAGTTACTACCTGACTGGGATTCTTAAGAATCATTTCTTCTGGGGATGCCTGGGTGACTCAGCAGTTTAGCACCTGCCTTTGGCCCAGGGCGTGATCCTGGAGTCCTAGGATTGAGTCCCACATCCAGCTTCCTGCATGGAGCCTGCTTCTCCCTCTGCCTGCGTCTCTGCCTCTCTCCCTCTCTGTGTCTCTCATGAATAAATTTTTTAAAAAACTAAAAAAATAAAATAAAATCATTTCTTCTCTGCAAAATAGGGAACATAGCATTCCCCTCACAAAATTGTTGTGAGAATTAAAAACCCATGTCAGGGGATCCCTGGGTGGTGCAGCGGTTTGGCGCCTGCCTTTGGCCCAGGGCGCGATCTTGGAGACCCGGGATCCTGGAGACCCACATCGGGCTTCCGGTGCATGGAGCCTGCTTCTCCCTCTGCCTGTGTCTCTGCCTCTCTCTCTCTCTCTCTCTCTCTGTGGCTATCATAAATAAATAAAAATTAAAAAAAAAACCCATGTCAGAAGTGCCTAGAGTACAGTGCATGGCTCATAGTAGACAGAAGTCATTAATTTCCTTTCCTTCTCCCTTCGATACAGCCTTGTGCTCTAGGGAGAAAGGAGGGCACGATTTTTCCTTTCCACAAAATTAACCAGTACCACAGCCAGGTCAGAGAGAGCAGGGTTGAACTCAAACTCTAGATATCTTTTCCCATATATGAGTCCTGACTCCAAGTCACACTATAACACGTCACTTTTGAAAGCCATACTCTCACATTCAGAAGCTAGGTCTTACCATAGCTATTATTTTAAGAACCATGGTTAGCTCAGGGCTAGACTGCATAATGAGATAAGATACAAATGCTTTGGGAATCTATGGGTTCCCAGCATAACTAATGAGTACTATCAACTGTATTCTGTCCAACATATGGACAGATCAGATCAAAGGAAGACCATTTTTGCTCCTTCCTGTAGCCTCTGTTTTGGGAAATTTACATTTTATGTAATCATTATTAAAGGTTATTTGTGGTTTGTTGTTGTTGTTCAGTTTCATTAAAGGTTAGCATCACTAGGGAAGCTATATAATGTAGTAGGACAAATAAGGGCTTTGGAATCAAGCTTTGATTCAAGTCCTAGCTTTGCCACTTCCTTGCTATGTGACACTGGACAAATCATAACTTCTCAGAGTTTCAGTTTGCTCATCTATATACTATTTTTCAAAGTTCAGGTTACCCCTTCTGTGGGTTGTAAAACCAAGTTAGTGGCTTGCAAGTAACATTTCTTTTAAAGTAAAAAAGTAAAAGAAAAATATCAGATGACACTATATGTAATAAAGACAAGTACTATTTCATGAAATTGGTTTCAGGTACATATTTATTGATATGTATATATATACACACAAACATGTGTATAATAAATTGCAACATAAAATCTTTCTTACAGTGGGTAATAGTAAATAAAACCTGAAAGCCTCTGACCTATAAAATGAGACTATCAGGTGGGGAATGTTATCTTCTATATTTTTCAGAGTATTTGAGAAGTTGAAAAAAAAGTGGGCCAAATATTAGCAAATAACCTTATTAGAATCAAACATCTGGATACAACCTTATTTAAAAATACTGAGAAAGTTCCTTTTAACTGGTCAATTTCAGATTCTTTATTTTCTTCACAGCATGCTTTTACTTCATTTTACTTTAACCTATTTTTTGTTTTCTCACTAGAATATAAGTTCCATAAGAATGTTTTGTTTTGTTCTTGAGCTCTCCTTAGCACCTAGATTTTACTCACCTATATACATATAACACATATACACCATAAACATATGGTATATGGATACCTATCTGCCAAATGAAAAATGAAGAACTTGGATAAATTCATTCTAGTGCATTCTATTTAATGGCACTTTCAAAATAACATGAGAAAGAATCTGCATACAAAGGAATATCTGTGAATTGAGTTCAACAAGGAGTTGTTCGGCTAAAAATCTATAAAAGGTCCAAGTTACTAGTATGTTGAGCTTTCCTCTGAGTATCTACTCATGAATTACATCTACATAAGGCTGTAGCTTCTGATACCCAGTGAAAGAATATTTGACTTGGAATCAATGCTTAGGCTAAACCCCACTGACCATCACCTATGAAATCTGCCCCTAGCATTATGGATCTGGAGCTGAAAGAGACAAGGGTTCAAATCCTCATTATATCTTTTATATGCTGTGAGACCTTAGGCAAGCTCCCTTATCTGTTAAATGAAGGTAATGGGGCTTATACCACAGGGTTATTTTGAAGATCAAATAAGCTTACATATATAAAATACCTGTCACAGTGTCCGGTACATAATAAAACCCAGTAAAAATTAACATTTATTATTATTTCATTCATTTATCTTTTTTCCAACTAATAGTAATGTCTACTTTGTTATTTTGTGTCTATACTGGGGCACAGGCACAATTCAAGAAGAATTAGCTGCAGTCCCTGCCCACGAAGAACCAACAGTGTAACAGGAAAGATAAACCCATAAAAAGTAAGTATAAAAGAACTAGTAGGAGGATAGTATGTATTATCTCATCCAGGAAGGCTGAAATGAATCTGCTCCTCTCTTGCAAATCTAGTATTAGGGCCTGGTTTGTGTCTAGAGTTGATAGGTATATCAAAACCCTTCCAATTTATAAAATGGAATGGCTTCTAAGATGGGTCAGAGCAGCTCTGTAAAGATGCCCTCACAAGACTGTAAGAAGAATGGTCAAAATGCCTTAACAGCCAAAAGGTAGAAGCAACTAGTGTCCATTGACAGATGAAAGGATAAATAAAATGTGATATATATATATATGTGTATATATATACACACAATATATATATACACACTATATATGTATATATACATATATATATACACACACATACAGTGGAATATTATTCAGCCTTTAAGAGGAAGGAAATTCTGACACCTGCAATAACATGGATGAGCATAGTAGACATGCAAAGTGAAGTAAGGCAGTCACAAAAAGACTATGATTCTGCTTATATGAAGTATTTTGAGTAGTCAAATCCATAGAGACGGAAAGTAGAAACATGGTTGCCAGGAGCTGGGGGGAAGGAGGAAGTTAAGTGTTATATAAAGAGTTTCAATTGGGGAAAAAGATGAAAAAGTTCTGGTGACAGATGATGATAATGGTACAACAATGTGAATATACTTAATACTATATAACTATAAAGTTAAAAACGGTTAAAATGGTAAATGTTATGTATATTTTACAATTTAAAAAAGAATAATTTTCCTATGAGTTATAGAAAGAGACAGAGCATGCACCCCCTGTTCTCTGACTTTGATCATTCTTTTTTTTTTTTTTAAGATTTTATTTATTTATTCATGAGAGACACAGAGAGAGGCAGAGACACACACAGGCAGAGGGAGAAGCAGGCTTCCTGCAGGGAGCCCAACGCAGGACTCAATCCCTGGACTCCAGGAACACTCCCTGGGCCTAAGGCAGGCGCCAAACCGCTGAGCCACCCAGGAATCCCCCCCACTTTGATCATTCTTATATTTAGTAGCATTTCAAGCCAGCTTTCTCCAGGTTAACACATGACAAGAAATCTGGGGCAATCCTCAAACATAGGACCCTATGTAATGTAGTCAACATCTAAGAAATCACAACTACCCAAACATCCAAACTCAAAATTTACAGCAGAATACATAGCTGCTTTACAGTGACTACAGGTTTATTTCTACAAGTGTAAGAAACAAAAAAATACATCAAAGTATTTGTATGTCCAAAAGCCAGATTAGGATTATATAAACTCATTCCTAACTAGCCCATGTGGAGTGGATTTCATATATAAGTACCAATGTCTCATAATACTTTACTGCCTGAAATTAAAAAAAAAGTGTTAATTTTCATTAAACAAAGCAACTTTTATATACTAAACGAGAATGTCACAACTGACAGTACTGTATAATGACCTGGTTTCCTAGTGGCCCAGAAAGATGGGAAAAAAATCCCAATGACCCTAGTTCAGAAAGACTATCTTGCATGATTAAAGGCTATGCTGCAGCCCAGGCGGGTCTACACTTTGGTAGCTTCCCTCCAGCAGTCCCCTATGTGACTAAGGACTGGAATAAGAGTGACAGCTTCACAAAGAGGATCATAGGAGATAAAGCTCCTTCCTAGTATAGTATGTTCAAAGACTCCAAAACCCAAAACTTAACTTCTCTGCTATCCATCCATCCAATTTTCAGTAAGACCAATTTATATCATCTAGGAAGTCAAATGTCACCTTCATTTTTACCTTACCAAACCTTAGAATAAAGGCCAGGGTGTGGTGTGGACACGAGCCCTTGGTCAGGATCACAATTCTATCAGCAAATAATTGGTTTAAGTTAGAGCCAAGTTCATCAACAATAAGATGACAGGGTTCAGGCAAAGTTGGCTGCCTTCTTGCATTTCAGAAAGACTAGCATTGCTACTGACACTAGTACATAGGTGTAAAGCAACCTCTGGGTAGGTAATGCCACCAAACAAAAGCAACACCTTCAAAGTCTCTCTCAGTAACTAGAGGCAGCCAGACACTCAAACTGCCAGTCCTGAATTACGGCCTCTGAATGGTGAGGGCTTCACATTTCACTGATCAGGGCACAGCCCAATCAGAAGACAAACCCCTGCACTGCCAGGGACCAGCAAATCCGCTTTCTTCCAGAGTGCACATGACTGAATGTGCTTCTGTCCATCATCTGGGTCATATATAGTTCAATGCGAGCTGAGCAGACAGGGCTGCAAGGAAATCTGGCGCAGTTCAATACCTCGTCTAGCCTGGGTTCCAGTATTTAATTTTTTTTACTGACAAACTCATTTCTCTACCGGGACAGGATGCTGTGCTGGCTGGAAGTTCCATTTCTACAGCAAGAATCCTATCTGGAAACACAGAAGTTGTCCTCTAGCCTCAGCAGCTCGAACTTTTTTGATTGTTGTTGCTGCTTTCTCCCATCACCCCTACCCCCTTTTGACAAAGATCCAACTGTAAAAAGTCTTACGTAACAGTTCAGGACTACTTCGGTTCTTTTACTGGGTAAGCACTTTCATTTTTTTTAAACTAAAAACCATTTTAACATTGAATCTGTTGAGAAGCTTAACTAAAATCTTTTAAGTAATTTGTGTAGTGAAATACTGTCAGTGGAGTTTTTTAGACTCATTTCTGCACGTGCTCCTTTGTTCTCAGAACAGAAGCTTTTTATACACACCCCATAACGCAGCTGGAGAGAGTTATGAAGTCAGTTATTATAAGGAACACAAAGGTTGTTTTGCATTCTTTGCCTTTAGATAATTAATTTCGTATTTGCTTTCTTAAAACAGAGTAGTTAAAAAAAGGGAGAAATTCACAAAAGAATAAACTGTTGGAGAAAAAAAGTTTGAAGTTTTTAACCACCTTTTCTATCTGTAGTTTTGTGTGGCCAAACACTTGCGCTGCCTGGGGCGGTGGGGGTAGTGGCAAGCGTAGACAGAGAGGAACTAAGCCAGACATGGACAAAGGCATGAGCCAAACCAGACAGTCCTGGCCGTTCGATAGGCCAGCAGTGGGTGAGACAGGTCAGCCAGCTGCAGGGGCAGGAAGGGGGGGAAAGGGGCATGGATGTGTGAGGTGTTCATGCATGCGATCGTGACTAGATTCTGAAACTGCCAGCCATTTTCCCAGCTATGCTTTGTGCAATCTAAAGGAATGCATCTCCTCTGAAGCAGTCTTGCCAGAGCCCAATGATAGAAGTGTGATAAATACCACAACATATGGAATCAGAAAATACTGGGATCTGGGGTGGGCAAGAGGGAATGCAGAGGGTGTGGAAATTTTTTAGTGATCTGGAATGTGTTGAGTGACAGGAAGTGCCCCAAGCTCCCCCCCCCCAACTCTTCTCAGTCGCGCCTGCTTTTGTCTAACTCTTGTAATCTACACACTACTGCTTACAAAGCTGTCTGAGTTTAAGACAAAAAGAAACATAAAAGGCTCTCCGTTCCATGGTACCTGCGATATGGAAGGAGTGCAAAAAAAAAAGCAGGGCCCTTCTATCTATCCTATCGACATTTTTTCAGGTATACAAGACAAAGATAAAATAATAATATTCAAAGGATAAATGAGAATTATAACTTAGAGTCTGGCTTCCAAATCTGATTTTTAAAAAATCCTGATTCTGCTATACTTATAAATGTTAAAACTGGTTCCTAATTTGAATAAGGCTTGTTTGGTTAATATGCTGCATTTGAAGTTGTTTCTTTTTCTTTGTATAAATTTGGACTTTTGGGGGAAAATGCAGATAAGTAAAATGCACTAAATATATATGTATATATATATATTTTTTTTTCCCTTCATTGGTTAAAAAGCATTTTCAAGGGTTGGTTTCCTAGAAAAAACAGCTCTTTATTTCTCATTTTTGTACGAATACTATAAAGAGAACTTTATGCCGTAATTAATGTAAGGTAGAAAACTTTTAACAGAAAATAATACAGTGTTCTAGGTGAAAAACAACTTAGCATTTCCCTAAACTTCCATATTATCAACAGAAACACTAAAACTTGGGAGAAAAGTAGCCAAATAACTGAATGGTTAACCCTGCTTTTAGAGGATAAAATGGAAAATTAAGTGTGAATAAAATGATACTTGGGAATGTTTCTACCTCCTACCACAAAGGATGTTAGTGGTCAGCCTAGGAGTTAATCTTTCCAATGTGGCTCTGAGCCTTCATGCCGAGCAGACATTATTCACATGACGATTCGAAAAGTCCATTCATATATCTCACTACCTGGATTTGAATAGAAACCAGACAGCAATTCTTTAGTTCCAGCCACCATTCGCCCCACTGGACAATAGCGATTTGTTAGCACAGAGTCACAGGCTGTGGGACACAAAGCTTGGAGCTGCAGAAAGATGGGGGATTCAGAGAACAGGAAATTACAGGCCCGATGCACTCCTGGCAGCTCTGAGAATACAAAAAAAAAAAAAAAAAAAGGCAACACAGAGATGCCATGTTTAAGACCTACTTCTAGCTTTTTTAACCACCTCCAATGTCATAAAAGCTCTATTGTTGGAGTACATAAAGTCACGAGTCCCATGTGCTCTCTTTTCTCACTATAGGGAACTTCATTCAATGCCCTGGCACAGTTAGAAAAATCAAAAGCATCCAAAGTTTATTAGTTGTAAGCTTTGATAGAAAGGAGAAGAATATTTTACAAATAAAATGTCAGAGAAAAAATATGCTTAGTGACACAACTGACATATAATAAAAGTAGTATCTTTTACAAATTATTTCACAAGACCAAAATGAAACCAAATGTTCCAAGACTCCAGGGAAGCAAATTTTTCTTTAAAATATATGAAATCTGTAATTCAATAAAAAGTTTCTTCAGAAGATATATATCAATTTAAAAACTAATCTTACACAGAACATTTCTGAGTTCTGAGTTGGATTTTGCAAAACAAAGAACTAAAATCAATGCCCTAAGGACTTATTTTGGCATATTAGAATGGAAAACTTTATTTTCTTTTGTTGGTTATCAAATTATTGTAGTTCTCTGGCTAAATTTAGAAATTGCCTCTACTTCTCTCTCTTTAGAATCAAAAAATAAAATTAATGGAATTCTAGGTGAGGGGAGAGACCTAATTCTCTAATCTTAATCAATGAGCACAGGCTCCTGTCCAGACCCTCATGGTGCAACCTGAGCACCACACACCAGAATGGTGTCCATTTCAACAGGAGGAGACCCTGCACAAGGAAGTTGTAAATGATTTTGTTCTTCTGGGTTTCTTCTGTGATCCATTAGCAGATCCAAATCCTAAATGATATCATACCGGAAATATTCATTAAATGAGATCATGAATGATCAAAAGGTGCTTTGGAAACACAAATTATTCTATTCTGTTTGGTCCCATGGCTTTAAGACGAACGCCCGCTAAATTTAATGCTGCTGGAAAACAAATCAGCAACTTTTAAACTACCAATTACTGGATCTCTTCAAATTCTATCATTACCCACTAAGCACAAGCATTAGTTACGACCTCAAGCTGTGTTGCTGTCCAATACATTAGCCACCAGCTCTATGGGCTATTTTTATTTGAATTAAAATTAATCAAAATTAAATAAAATATTCATTTTTTTAAAAAGATTTATTTATTTATTTATTTATTCGGGCGGGGGGGTGTTCAGAGACACAGGCAGAGGGAGAAGCAGGCTCCATGCAGGAAGCCCGACGTAGGACTCGATCCTGGGTCTCCAAGATCACGCCCTGGGCTGCAGGTGGCGCTAAACCGCTGAGCCACCCGGGCTGCCCCCAAAAATTCATTTCTTCAGTCACACTAGCCACGTTTCATTACACTCAACAGCCCCGTGTAACTACATACTGGACAACACAGATACAGGATATTTCTATCAAAAAGTACTACTGGACAGCAATGATCTAGACTATGCTCAATCCACAACACCTATCTTCAACTATATATCCAGCTGGACATGAAAGAAATTTATCTCTAAGTAAAAAATATAATGACAAGTATAACAAGGCAGCTAGCACCATGATACCTGAGGTATGTCTAAAAAAGCATTTTGAAACCAAAGGTTTCTTTTTTTCTTGGTCCATAGTAAAGAGGTTATGAAGAACATTAAGGCAGTAGAGGCAGACAAGAGTGGCCAAAGTAATTAAAATGTTCCAGAATAGTACTTATTAACAAAAAGTTCTTCCTAGAGGGCACCTAAGTGGCTCAGTCAGTTAAGCATCTAACCCTTGATATCAGCTCAGGTCTTGATCTCAGGGTTGTGAGTTCAAGCCCCATATTGGACAGCTTGGAGTATACTTAAAAAACAAAAAATAAAAATTAAGGGCAAAAAGTTCTTCCTAAACATATGAAGCAAATAATTCCATGGTCTCCTTTACATTACTGTCATGGACAAATGAAACAGCAAAGAACAAGGGGCTTGAAGTCAGTCAGACCTGGGTTTGATTACCAGTATCTACCCTACTAGCTAGAAAATATTAGGCAAATTAATCCACCTCTCTGAGATTTAGTATCCTTCTCTACAAAATGGATAGCCAACCTACATGATATATGGAAGGACAATGAAGTACATAGAGCATCCAGAGTAAGGTGCTAGGCATGCAGTGGGAATTTTAAAAAGGGTACCTATTATTTATTATTATATTTCCCCCCTAAATCTTCATGTGACTCCCTATAGATAGACAGATACTATTAAACACACGAAGCAAACTATTATAAACAGGTATCCTAAAATACTAACACTGGCCACTCAGTAAATCAACTGGAATAAAATGGAAATATTTGTATGCCAGACAGCTTTCCCCAGCCAAAATGTGACAATGCTGCTCCATGTATCCTGGCCTTTTTACTACAACAATCTCATGTCTTACTTGGCTCAAATAACAAGCATGGTCCCTGTGTGTTCAGAGTCTTGTATTTATCTAGGCTTAGGTTTTATATAGAAGGAGTATTCTATAGCTAAAAAGTAAAATCGAGTCCCACATGGGGCTTCCTGTGAGAAGCCTGCTTCTCCCTCTGCCTAGGTCTCTGCCTCCTCTCTTTCATGTGTGTCTAAACTATTTTAAAAAAACAAGACAGGAAATGGAAAAGGTTATTTTAGAAATGCAATGATAACCTCATTCTCCCTTGCTGAAATGACTAAAGCACAGAGAAAAACTGTAGATAGAAATCTTTTTTTCAAGTATTAAACTGAGGCTTTTTTTCAAGGAATATTTTTTTTTTAAAGATTTTATTTATTCATGAGAGACACAGAGACAGAGAGGCAGAGACACAGGCAGAGAGAGAAGCAGGCTCCATGCAGGGAGCCTGATGTGGGACTCGACCCCAGGACTCCAGGACTACGCCCTGGGCCAAAGGCAGATGCTTAACTCTGAGCCATCCAGGGATCCCCTTCAAGGAATATTTAAATAACTCAGTATAATAATAACGAACTGGTAAAACATCCGATGCCTTATTGCTTCTAATTATTGTGAACTAGGTATCTGGTCAAGACCAGATATAATGAATGGTGTCTCTCCAAGGCTTTAGCG